GTAATGGATTTATTTTCAGTAGATAGCAATTATTCTTTTGCACATTGTATTTCAGCAGATCTAAAAATGAGTGAAGGTATATCTTTAGATATTTGTAATAAATATGGAAATATGGCGCCAAAATTATATAAATTAAATCCCCAAATAGGTGATGCGATTCCAATTGTTATCAATGGCAGAGTCATTTATTATTTAATCACAAAAAATTATTATTTTGAAAAACCAGAATATATCAATATTAAAAAAGCATTAAAAAATTAAAAAATTCAAATGATAAAACATCATGACTCTGACATTGCTATGCCAAAAATAGCATCAGGTTTAGACAAAAAAGAATGGTACACCATAAAAGAAATGATTATTTCAACCTTTCACAATACTAACATAAACATATTAATATGTCATAACAACAATGAATATATCACACATAATCACAAAAAACACAATTCATTTATAAATGCAATCAAATTTTCATATGATAAATTACAAAAAAAAGAATCAAATAATAAAAATAAAAATAGTAATAACCAAATTGAGGATGAGAGATTAAAAATTTTCGAAAAATATAAAAAAGGAGAAAATGTGTTGAGTGATGGCAATTGTGGTATTTATTCATTGGTAAATTCTTTAAACTATGGTAAGACACAAAAAATAACTTCGGTATTAGAAATTTTAGAGCTTTTAAACCTCGATGATCTTCCTAATTATTGGTTTAGCGATTCCGAATTAGCCTCATTGGCAAATTATTATAATCATGACACTTACGTTTTTGACTCCACTAATAAANCTATTATAATCATGACACATATATTTATGATTCCACTAATAAAACTGGAATTGTTTATGGTTTGGGAGATCGATTACCCATTATACTTTACAATGTAGAAAATAATACGCATTGAATTCCTGGAATACTTTCTAAAAAAAAATCTAAATACATTCCAGACAATGTAATAAGTTTCACAGAATTTGAACCTATACATGATATAAAACAAGCATTAGCCAATCATGTTGCTAACAAGTCAGTTAATATAATTTACTCACAAGATAATTTATCAACCTATAAACCTAACACAGACATTAATACCGTAATTTTTAATACAAATACACTCACAAACTTAAACAAAAAAATCATTGCAGACAAAGAAGGAACGCCCATAAATATTTCACCTCATTTATCAAACATTGAACACAATTTAGTTGTTAATCTTTTAACACAATACATTCATTTATTTATTAGCGATAATTCAAATATTACAGTTGCTAATGTAACACCCTGTCAAATTAAAATGCTACCAAATTACGTTACTCCAAAATTCCATGCACCTCACAGAATTTCACCTAAACAAAGGGAAGAATTAAAAAAACATATAGACAAACTTTTAAATGCAAATATAATAAAACCAGTTACCTCAAATTTTGGAGCACCGGCATTTCTGGTTAGCAAAAAAGAAAAAAATTCCTTTAGATTGGTAGTATCTTACAAAGAATTAAATGAAATAGTTCAATCAGATTTATATCCAATACCACGCACTACAGACTTATTTAGAGCTCTAGAAAATGCAAAATATTTTAATTTACTTGATTTCAACAGTGCATTTTTTCAAATACCCGTCAATACTGAAGACCAATACAAATTAGCGTTTACTTCAGTATTAGGTCTTTACACTTTCACAAGATTACCTCAGGGGTTTAAAAATAGTAGTGCCATATTTCAAAGAAAATTAAATGTAATCTTTTCTTCTTTATTATATAAATCATTAATAATTTATATTGATGATTTAACTTCATATGGAAAGAATTTTGATGAAACATTAATTAACTTAAAAGAAATTTTTCAGATAATGGATAAATTTAATTTTTCATTAAAAACCATTAAATGTAAATTTTTTTATAATGAAATAGAATTACTAGGTCACAAAATTAACGAAAAGGGAATACAACCATTAGATAGAAACATTAAAGCAATTACAGAATTTAAAATTCCAAAAACTCAAAAAGATGTGCGTTCGTTTATAGGTATGTGTTCTTATTACAGAAAACACGTTAAGAATTTTTCCAAAATAGCAAATCCACTTTTTGATTTAATTAAGGGAGATAATAAAAAAGTTACATGGTCTATGGAACACGATAAATCATTTAATACATTAAAACAAATTTTAACCACACAACCATTACTTAAACATTTTGACGATAATAAAAAAACATTTTTAACAACTGATGCATCAATTAATGGCTTAGGAGCTTATTTAGAGCAAGAACACAATAATACATTATTTCCTGTAGGCTATGCAAGTAGAAAATTATTAACTAACGAAATAACTTATTCATCTACAACTTTAGAATTATTAGGGTTGTGCTTTGGAGTACAATACTTTCGAGAGTACCTTTGGGGACGTCATTTTTTTGTATTTTCTGACAACATTAGTATTCAGTATTACAAAAATCTTAAGATACCCCCATCAAAAATCGCTAGATTAACTTTAAAGCTATTAGATTTTAATTTTGATATAATTTATAAAAAGGGAAAGGATAATAAAATTGCAGATGCTCTATCAAGGAATGCCATAAACAATATTACACTAAATACTATTAAAGACAATCATTCATTAAACATTTTAGAAATAAATACATTACAACTTGATGATGAATTCTGTAAAAATATAATAGACGCTCTAAATGACAAAAAGGTTCCTAATAAAATTAAAAGAAATTCAAGACAATTTATCCTAAAAAATAATTTATTATACCTAAAAAAATATACACCAAATAAAACAATGGAATCAATATTAGTTTTACCACAAAAATTAATACCTGATATATTAAAATCTTATCATGAGTCACTTATTGGAGGAGGTCATAGTGGAATTTCACGTACTATTCACAAAATTCAATTAAAATATTATTGGCCCAATCTTACTAAAGATGTTACCGATTTTATAAAATCTTGTCCAAATTGTCAAGCAAATAAGAACTTAAGCGGAAAACCTATACGAAACTTACATCCTATACCAATTACAAGTAAACCTTTATCTAGAATCACTTTTGACTACTTAGGTTCATTAAGTTCTAGCAATAAAAAAAAATATATTTTAGTAGCTGCTTGTAACAATACAAAATACATTTTTACAAAAGCTGTACAATCTGCTAGTGCGGAATCTACAGTAAAATTCATAATTCAAATAATATCACAATGGGGTTGTTTTGATCAATTTTCTAGCGACAGAGGATCTCATTTTAAAAATGATCTCGTTAAAAAAGCATGTGACAACCTTGGTATAAAACAAGGATGGTCTACTTCCTATTCCCCTCAAACCCAAGGATTAGTAGAAAAAATTAATGGAGTTATATGTGCATCTTTAAGAAATTATATAGAAAATGATAATCAATCTCGATGGTCATATATTCTTCCTTATATAACCCTATCTTATAATTCGACACCACATTCTAGTACTGGTTATAGTCCATTTTATTTAATGCATGGATTTGAACCAAAATTTCCTGCTGACAATAAAATATTACCCACAAACATACCTTATGATATATTAAAATCATTAGAAGAATTACAAAAAACAAGACAAACAATTCCAAAAATAATTGCGAAAGTACAACTAACTCAAAAAAATAATTATGACAAAAAACATATAATTCTAACATTTGATCCAGGGGATTTAGTATTAGTTAAATTTCCTTTTGCTCAAATAGGTAAATCACCAAAATTGGCGGCAAAATATCGTGGACCATATAAAGTAATAAAAAAGATAAACGATT